ACAAGGATTCTAGCAGGCATTTTCTGACCTCTCCTCAAATTCAGAATAATCTCTCCAAGGGACCATAAACCTGCGAAGGTTGCACTTGAGTGGATACCAAGAAATTAATTGTGAAATGAACAGTATGTAGATCCCTGAACTCAGGCATGGCTGGATAGTGCATATCTACTAGTGGGGAAGTTAAGAAACTCGTCCAGCTCAGTAGCAGTGTCAAGATAACAGTGCATGTGGACGTTAAGTTCTATGCAACTCCACAAAACATTGGGTGTTTCATTAGGTGACACCCAATGAAAAATGTGTTACAAACCCAGGCTTCATATAATACAGACATGCCATGAATTTTGTTGCCATTTATGAAAACAATCTTTTCCCAATTCTACTGAAAGTAGTCACAGGTCCCTCACCTCACAGAGCTACTTCTGTCTCCTTGATATTTATAAGAACATCTTCAATTTATATGACTCCTTTCTGCTGTACATGTTCATGTAAGTTTCAGTCCAGTCCATTTAATAGTCACAGCATTTCAGTCTGATATGCCAAGCAAGTAGTATTAATGCCGTTTTAGTTTTCATCTTGGTTCCACTTTGTTCTAACGCAGGAGGCGTATGAGACCCAGAGAGGTTAAGCAACTTGCCCGGAGGTCACGTAGCCGTTCAGTGGTCAGGTGGCAGCAGGAACATAGTCCAGTGAGCTTTCCTCCACATCAGTGCCCCTCAGACTATAGCATGCATATGAATCACTGGGGATCTGATTACAGCACAGTTTCTGAATTCAGTATGTCTGGGCAGAACTAGGATTCTGCATGTCTAACAAGCTCCCAGGAATTGCTGTTACGGGTAGAAAAATCCTTCTCGATACCCTCATGACACCCCAGGCACGTCCCTCCCAATACTGCCTCAAATGCAGCTGCAGCATGTGGGCATTCACTCATTTCCCCTCAACTAGACTGTGAACTCCACAAGAATAGGAACTGGCCTCTGTTCACTGTTCTGACCTAGCTGCCCAGCACCATGCCTGGCAAAAAGGAACTGAATGGACATTTTTTGAAGAATAAAGAAAAAGCGACCTATTTTCAATTACAAACCAACAACACTTGAATATGAAGACTCTTATTATTTATTGAAACAGAATATTTATCAAGGATCCTTTGTCATTTCAAGTCATATCATGATATCTAGTTGTTATTACCTGCTCCCAAAAGAACACAACCAGGAGTTTTGCAGGGTCATCCTGTTTAAACCTACACCTCTCACAGAACTGTGCCAGGGTCCAGTGCAACAGAATCACTCTTTGGGGCCAGTGGGATGTGTTGCTGTGAGGTCATTCTTTAATTTATTTATTTTTAAATATCTTTATTGATTTCAGAGAGAGGAAGGGAGAGAGAGAGAGAGAAACATCAGTGATGTGAGAGGGTCATTGATGGGCTGCCTCCTGCACGTCTCCTGCTGGGGATCAGATCTGCAACCCGGGCATGTGCCCTGACTGGGAATCGAACCCCGATCTCCTGGATCCTAGGTCAATGCTCAACCGCTGCGCCACGCCCTGCCGGGCACGTGAGGTCATTCTAAGGGTAAGGTAAGTGTAGAACAGGTGGGGCAACTGAGGCTCGCTAACACTCAGCTTGAAGGGAGCCACATCCCCTCTGCTTCCACCTGAGGATGCTGATAACACCGATGCACCACAGACTGCAGGTTTTCCCAGTGTCGAGAGCTGTGACATCCTCTTTACATGCCTGTAACATAGGCACGTATTTTACAGGTAAGGAAGCAGAGACATAGGGTTATTACACTGTTAGAGGTGAAGCCAAGGTTAGGACCCAGGCAGGGTGGCTTCAGAGCCAATGCTTCTAACCACGTTGTCCACTGCCTGGAAGCACACAGGGACAAGAAACCATTGCCTGAAGACGGGAGTGGATTCACTCCCTGGTCAGTAGCCTGATAACAGGCTCTAACAAATCCCAAATAGAGGGAATTGGGGAGAAATGCATCTCATCAACAGGAGATGACCCATGTATTCAAAAGGAAAGGCCCGACAATACAGTGTAGAAAAAAAATAGAATTTTCATTACAGCAAATGCTCAAGTAGTTTAACGCTGGCTCATGGTTAAATATCTAACACCACTAAAAGGTTAAGTAAGAGTCAGTTAAGTAATAAGTCTCAAAGNTGACAATACAGTGTAGAAAAAAATAGAATTTTCATTACAGCAAATGCTCAAGTAGTTTAACACTGGCTCATGGTTAAATATCCAACACCACTAAAAGGTTAAGTAAGAGTCAGTTAAGTAATAAGTCTCAAAGGTCCCAGATTCCTTTCACACTTCATTAGGTCTCTTATGAAACCTTGCATTAATGACTGGGCAAAATCTGAGAAGATGGTCATCACATGGAAGAAATCAGGATTTGGTGAAGCATGTGTATCCAATGTAGAAAGTGAAAAAGTCTAAAGGACAGAGAGGCTGTTTTTCAAACTCTTAAAAAGCAGAAGTGCGACAGTTATATTTTAACTCTCTCAGCATGAGGAATCGAGAAAACGGGGAGAGAATGCATTGTCAAGTTGGATATGAGAAAAGGACAACCTTGCTTATTATAAAATAGTTTTAAATGTTGAATAAGAAAATAAATAGGAGCCCGGCCAGTGTTGCTCAAGGGTGAGCGGTGACCCATGCACGGAGAGGTCACTGGTTCGATTCCCGGTCAGGTCACACACCCAGGGCTGTGGTCTTGATCCCCAGCAGGGGACTTGCAAGAGGCAGCTGATCTATGCTGATGTTTCTCTCTCATCACTGTTTCTATCTCTCCCTCTCCCTCCCCTTCCTCTCTCTCTCTAAAAATCAATAAAAACATATAAAAATCAATAAAAACATATTTTTTTAGAAAAGGAAAAAGAGCGATACAGTAGTCCCCCCTTATCCATGGTTTCACTTTCTGCTGTTTCAGTTACAAGGGGTCTACATACTGGGATCCAAAAATATTAAATTGAGATTTCCAGAAGTAAAGAATTGATAAGTTTTAAGGTGCAACTATTCCGGACAGCATGATGAACTCTCCGGTGGTCCTGCGAGGGACCTGAATCACCCCTTTGTCCAGCGTATCCCGCTGTGTACGCTCCCGCCCATTAGTCATTAGTAGCCAACTGGGTTAGCAGACGGACTGTGGAAGTATTGTAGTGTTGTGTTCACGTCACCCTTATTTTACTTAACAGTGCCCCCAAATGCAAGGGTAGTGATGCTGGCAATGTGAATACGCCAAAGAGAAGCTTTCGCTTAAAATGATTCCTTTAAATGAAAAGGTGAGTACAGTTCAATAAGCTATTTAGAGAGAGAGGGTGGGGGGGACCACAGTTGTATAACTTTTATTACAGTATATTGTTATAATCATTCTATTTTATTATTTGTAATTGTGATTATATTCTACTGTGCCTTATTTATAAATTAAACCTTATCATAGGTATATATATGTGGTAGTCAGACAGACTTCAGCAGAGCAAGGACCACGGGTGAGGTACAGAAGGTCACCAGGGTGGAAAGCCCTGGGTGCCTTGTAAAGGACAATTGTAGGGTGGGAACTCGCCCCCAGGGTGACATTTCCTCCCCTAGCATATCGAGGTCATGTGGTTTGGACCCCCTGACCATTCCTCCCTAGAGATAACATCTAGGCCTCAGTTGTATTTCAGCTCCAGGCCCAGAAAAACAGCAAAACCAGACAAGTGACACCAAGACTGACCTCAGGACCAGCTGCATTGGATAATAACTCCCTGCCCTGGCACTGACCAACCAATCAGTGGAGACCTAGATCCTGAAAGGACACACCTGGAAAGCTGCTGAATATTCTATTGAGACCTTCCCCTGGGACTGCCCCTAAAATCCCCACCCTTAAAACCCTTAGGACAAGGACCCAGCGAACTCTCCCTCCAGGGAGAACACCTGTGCCTTTCCCAGGCCCCTCTCCCTCCCTCTCCCCTCAGGCGTTACCATTACCTTCCTTAGTCCAAAGTTCCAAGGCCCTTCCTTTGCCTCCAAAACTTGTGTCTTAAGCCCATTTCTTCTACAAATTACTTCTTCTACCCCTGTGATTTTCCAAATAAACGTTCTCTTATATGTTGAGTCTTGGCGCTGAATTCTTGCCTGGCCAGAACTCAAGTACTGAGGTTGCTGAACCCAGGTCAGGCCTGACTCCACTGGTCTAACACCTGGTGCTCTTCCTGCCAACTACAACATATATATTAAAAAAACATAGTATGTATAGGGTTTGGTACCATCCTAGGTTTCAGGTATCCATGAAGCATCTTAGAATGTATTCCCCACAGGTAAGGGGGGACTAATACACTAAAATACAGCCATAGGATCTTGAATAAAGCATTACTGTGAAAAAAGTTGAGCACTACAGATTGCTTTTCCCCACACTTGTTATTATTATTATTTACCTTTGAAGGAGACATGATATTACGGATTGTGAAGGCCCAAGACCTGGTCTCAAGCTTGCACAATTCTTCCAAGAGTCAGTTTCTTCATCTATAAAATGGTGATAATAAACACCTACCTCCTAGGATTACTAAGAGCCTTACATTAAATGACATATTGTTACCTACACATAGATGAAATGTGTTTACAAAAAAATAACTATAAATTATTGGTATATCATATGAAAAGATTGATCATATGTTAAATCTTGTGTGTTGAAAATAGAACCATATGAAACTTCACATAAGTATGCAGCCTTAAAAAATCAACTTCATGCATAATAACACCCACAGAGTTTAGTCAATTTACCAAATAACAATCGTTTTAAAAATCAGAAAGTTTTATGACTCAGTAGTGTAGACTTTGGGGTGGGTGGGAAATTCCACTTCAATTTATGGGAATATTTTATAAACCATAAAGTACTAAACAATACACAATATTTTTTTTTATTGTAATGTCCTGGTGGCTTCTCGAAGAATTGGAGATGTCATCAAATTAGAATCACTCAACACATTAAACTACAAATTTTTATTCACAGCAATTCAATTTGAAGTTTACTTGTAAAGTAAAGGAAGTCAGCTTTCTAAGAAGTTACAACAACATATATAATAGACATTAAGTCAACAAAGATAACAAACAAAATTTTTAGAAGTTTCCCCACAATTTCATCTTCCAGACTTGTGGGAGTAGTAGTAGAAATTAATATCCAGTTTTTAGACGTCATATCCAGAATGATCCTACTTCCTAGGGGAAAAAAGAGAGAAATATCCTCAAATGAACATACTTATAATTCAGATTTTTAAAAAACTCAGTCTATTATTTGTACTGTAAAGAAATAGTGATAAGGAAATATCTTTTAGGCAAGACTTGATATATTTGGAACCAACCAATGAACTAAAATGTTTTTACTCCTTACTGAATTAAAATATTTTTCATCCACTCATTTTGGCCACTTTATGCCATAATCATAGATTTGTTTATATGACAAACTTGCCTTTCTTTCTCAAAGAAACAGCCCAACCACTGTGTAAGGTATATAAATGTCTAACTGCTGTATACCTAAACGAATATAATATTGTCTATCAACTATAACTGAAAGATAAATTTTTACTAAAAGAAAAGAAAGCTCCCTTGAGCTGAACTAACAGCTCTTTTCATGTTATCAGTATTTATGAATCTTATCTGCTAAGTCATTTACATTATTTTACAATGGCATCAATGAAATTGTCATTCTTCCAACCTGTAACACAGTAGGTATTACCAGGAAATGAAAATTTGAAAACATGGAAAAGGGCAGGTTAAAAAAAATTTTTTTTAATTTTTAAAAATTAAACAACAAAAAGTATTTTTCATTTTCCTGATTTTTTCCCCCCTTAAGATCCTCTCTCTCATATTCTGGTCATTTAATAAGACATCAATCACTTCATTTCCTCCACATTTCAGTGTTAATCAAAGTTTAAAAACAGCTGCAATTTCTTAAAGTATAATAGAATTTGTAAAAGTATTAATTTGTGGTCAGGTTAGCATACTGTTGGAGCATTTTACCAAAGGCCAGTCAGGTAGGGAGTCTAGAATCATTCTTAGCTCCTCTTTCAGGAATGCAAGGTCAAATAAGTAACTTTCAGATACTTACATGAAAGATTTTATAGACACTCAACTTTAAATGAACATCAGTACTTTTAAAAAGTGGCAAGACTGGGGTAGTGCTATTTTCACTCAAAAACCAAAATGCAGCCCTGGGTGGCGTGTCAGTGGTTAGAGCATCGGCCCTCGCACTGAAGGGTTGAGGGTTCGATTCTGGGTCAAGGGTGCGCACCTGGGTTGCAGGTTCGATCCCAGGCCCCGGTCGGTTGGGGCACAGGCTCGAGGCAACCAGTTGAAGTTGTCTCCCTCACATTGATGTTTCTCTCTCTCTCACCCCCTCCCTTCCAATCACTCTGAAAATCAGTGGGAAAAATATCCTCGTGTTAGGATTAACAAAACCAAACCAAACCAAAAGGAAAAAAAAAAAAAATGCAGGTTGAGTTTTAAGAGAGGAGAAAGAGAGAGGGGGACATAGATGAGATGAATATAAGAGTCATTTGCTCCCACGTTTAGCCATCCTGAGTCATCTCTGTAATAACTCGCCCATTCCTGAAGGAAGGGACAATGGGCCGCAAATGACACAGCAACCCCCAGCGAAGTAAACTCCTAGAATTTCCCCTCCATCCAGCAACTCCCTTTGCCTGTGTTACGGACACAAGGGGTAAGAATGATACACAGGTTTGCCAAGTGACTTTCTCTCCTGTAAGCTCAGCCTCCGGGTTGTTTCCTTTGTGCCCTGAGGGGTACCTTCACTTTTCTTGAACAGCAGGAGGAGGGAGACGCCAATAGGAAGAGACAGCCGTCAGGGTGGAAGAGAAGAAATGTTCCTCACCTGCTTGGGCCCCGGCTGCGGCAGATGAGGGCCCTCTGGTTTTCTGTCACTCTCGCTAGGACGGAGGGCATTCAGCGCAGGTGGTCTCTTAGCGACCTTGGTTCCTGAGTCAAAGCACATTAAAGGGCTTTACTGGGCAGTGAAGTCTGAGTCTGCATAGAGAAACTCTACAGTTCCTCTCAGAGATGATTATAGCCTGGCCTTTTGTAATAAATTCACTCTTTCACTAAAGAACATGTTCTTGTCTCATTCAGAGTGCTCATGAGAAACAGGAACGTGTGTGATTCCTGCTGGTTCTTCTCCTTGATGTTAGATCTGTTTGTAGATCTAAATCATTGAAAGGACACAAATTTACAAACACGCGCGGATTCTACTGTGGGTTAAAATGATGAGTTTCACAGCACTTTGATTTATATTAGCTAGAAGCTCAGTAATCAAGGTTTTTCCTCTGGGAATGCAGGGACATTCTTTTGGGGGCAAACTATTTAACAGCAGCAATTTTTAGGAAAAAAAGATTTGTCATTAGATAAAATATACACCAAAAATATAAATAAAGTTTTAACAAGTTAAGGACACTTCTGAAACATATATATATGTAGTATGACTACTTCAAGATTGTGGTCGTGTCTTGAGTTGTAGTATTTAAAAACCATAGCTAAAGTAATATCACCCCCAATTTCTAATATAAGACATCATAGGTTGTTTTGGGCCAAATATATTTCATGTTGAAATTTCAAATGTTTGCAAAATAATTTCCCCTCCCATTTGTATGCCTCTACCTACCTTTTCCCCCTCCTATTTCCAGAAGAGCCTGGGAATCAATTTATTGTTTTATGGCAAAAACAAAACAAAACACACACAAAAACCCATGCAAAACAAATAAACAAACAAAAAAACCACCCTATTATATAAAATTATTCCTTCTAAGACATAACCCCTTTCTCAATTTCTCTCAACTTCTCCTATTCCTCTTATTAGGCATGGATGCTTGGTTAAGACAAAGAACAGAACATACTTTGTAAAGTCTGTTTTTCAATCAAAAGATAAACACTTCTGATTGGATTCAAGTTTATAGTCTTAAACAGGAGTCACATTTCAAAAATATTTTCTTTTTTGACAAGAATGTGCTAATCCTACTTCTTGTTTCCATCAACATCTAATGGTCAAGATAATATTGACATAAGTTCCCTAGAGACACATGTTAAAAAATGAGACATAATTGAAATCTGTCCATTTTTGCTAATAGGTCACTTAAATAAAGTGTAATAATGACCCTTTGTTGAAGGTCTAGTATGTGCCAGGCGATGTTATGAACGATCAGGTATGGACCAGCTTCCCAGGCTGCTCAGTATTCTATGTTGGAGCCTAGATACTGCTCACCTGGGACTCCAGTCCCCAGGTGCCACCCTCTTTCAACTACATGGATTTATTAATGTTTTCCAATAAAAAGTCACTTTTGAAAAGATCTGTATTACAATGGAAACTGTACTGAAATGGAAATATCCACATGTCATTCTTAACGGCCACTCTTTTTCTTTGGTCCTGGCTCCTTTCTGCAAAAGGGAACTGCTGGTTGAACAGTGGGATGGACGGTCTTGCAGTTACTCCCTGGGACTGATGACCCTGAATTTGCCAGAATATCTTTACAACAGCAGTTGTTAAGTTATTCGCATCCAAACAATCTGCTTTTTGTAAATGGGACATTCACAAACCAGCACTAGGAGGTTATTCTCTAGCAAGCAGTCAGCTGAAAATACAGGGCTTTTTTTCATCTATTTTTTATTAGCTTTTACTATCTGCAGATTTATTCTTGTTTATTAGTAGTTCATTACCCACTCATCAACTTATGACTGACAAGTTTCTCCCCTTGACCGCCTTAACATTATTAGCTGGACAGACAAATAACGAGAATGCTTTTAGGACATAGTGGTTGAGAGATGGGTCTGGAATTAGACAGATGGGGTTTGACTCAAATCNTTGACCGCCTTAACATTATTAGCTGGACAAATAACGAGAATGCTTTTAGGACATGGTGGTTGAGAGATGGGTCTGGAATTAGACAGATGGGGTTTGACTCAAATCTGCCACTTGCCATGAGACCTTGGACAAGTTACATTAACTTCTGTGCCTCACTCAGCACATGTATAAAAGGGGGGTAATAATAACTGTACGTGTTGGGGTAGTGTGAGAATTAAATGAGATAATACTTGTGCCTAGCAAGTAAACACTTAATAAGAGATGGTGACTATTAATATTAATTATCATTTAGCGTATTACCTCATAGGTGGTACCCTTTGAACGACTCATTCTTTTGGGGTTCTTTTTAAGCACCTAAACATACAAAACTGTCACCCACTTATCCTTTGAAACCCAAAGTTACCTCCTCTGTGATCCATCTGGACTTCCTCAGGAAAAATGTATTGCTTGCTTGTCTGTAATGTATTGCAGCTCACTACACTGTCTTATGGTTGTTTGCATGTAGGACTCCACAGGTATTTGCTGTCTTCCTAGAAAGTGGGGATGGCCTTATTTATCTGGGACCCCAGTGCCTCATAATAACTGCATGGGAAGTAGAAGCTTTCTTGGAAGACTGAAAGTTCATTTTGTTCAAATGACAATTACAACAAGAAAAACACATACAAGGGTTGGGCAAAAGCAGGTTTACAATTCTGAGGACACATTATTTTTGTATTATCATTTCTTTATTAATTATTGTATTATTTACTTGTATTATTTGTCTTATTATTATCATTATTGTTTTGTATCTTTACTTATGATTTATCTTTTAGGTAATGATGGCTGGTAATTTAACCTACTTTTGCCCACCCCTTTATATTGTCTATTTTCCCCAGCAAGTATTTTAAAAATAAAATCCCAAAGTTGGGTGCTTTCAATTTGTCTCCATATGGAAAAAAGTTTCTTTCCCATAAACATTATATTCAATAAAGTTATCTTTTAGAAACTAGAGAAATCATATGATAATTATGTCTTGTTGATGTTTTCACTTCTGTGGATTTTTTTTTGCTTGTAATTAGGAAACCAAGTCAAGTTGTTGGAAGGGAACAAAAATTTGGCACCAGCCCTACGGGTTTTAGGCTAGGCGTGTCCTGTTGGGATGGCTACCGTTTCTATGGCATAACAGAGATTTGTCCCCTTAAGTCTTCAGAAATGGGCACTGGTGTGGCAGGGCAGGAGGCAGGAACTCCTAACATTTGAGTAATTCAGAAGTTCAATGAAAAGTCAGGCCTATTTAATGATAAGTGGATTTATGTTCTGTAAATTTTCAGAATTTGAGTTCAAGTTGCATTTTCTGAACTAATTAAGGCTTCATTTGATTCTCCCAAAGCTGAGTCATGTGAGGAAGGAGATGTAATGCACAGCTGAGAAATTAATTCATCAATCATATGAGCCTAGTATAGAGAAAGCTTGAATGAAAATCTGTTAAATGGCACATGGCTTTACACTTAAACGATTGCAGGCATGATTGGTGTACCTTGTTTCCTGATTAAAATAGGATTTCAAGGAAATTTTTCTTTGTCCAGCTAAGAAAAACAACAGCAGTGAAAACTCTGAAATATTATAGAACCGTTGGCCCCGGAAAAAACATTTAAAATTTTGTAAACTTCTCATCTGACACATGAGGCCCAGAGAAGTATAGCAAATTGTCTGAGGTTACACAGTTACTTTTCTTCAGAGCTACTGTCATAACTGCCTCAGCAATTTTTCAAAATTTCTGATAAATTGGATTCTGCATTTATTAAGATGTGGCTATTTGGAGATACTCTACCTTCATCATCTCCCAGCTTCTTCGATTCAAGCCAATCCAAGACAGAGAATCCATGATAAAGGAGGTCACAAGTGAAAACTTAAAAAACTTGGCTGGGCAGACTCATGAGGCTCAGAACTTGACAAGTGGACTTCAACTGAAAAGAACAACCTGGGCTTTGTCACACATGGTCGGTGGAGTGGGGAGAGAATGGAGGTTTTAGGCCCAGATGGAACTGGTTTTAGATCCTGGTTCTGGCTGGTATTAGCTCGAGAGCCTTGGACCAGGCACTTAACCTCCCCTGCTTCCTCATCTGCAGAACAGAGGTGATACCTGTCTTACATGGGAGTTGAAAGGATTGTATTCATAACTACAGTTCAGAAGGGCCCATACATGCTTTGATTTTAATCTCATAAAACCTTGTGAGATGAGCTATTACTCTTCTGTTTCCTTAGTTGGAGAGATGGGCCTATACATGCTTTGATTTTAATCTCATAAAACTTTGTGAGGTAAGTTATTAACACTCCTGTTACAGAGAAATTAAGTAACGCTATTCAAAATCACACACCAGGGATGACGGGGGATTTGAACGGAGGTCTGTTTAGCCCCAAATCTTAGTCATTGCAGTATCTCAGGACTGGGAAAATGTAAGATAAGGGCCCCGCATGCTGCCTGACACTGGATTAAACAGTGGGTGTTACGATGAAGCAGCAGAATCAGAAAGACAGCAGCTTCCCTGCAGCCCAAGTACAGTTGAGAGAGATGAGTGATCAGATGGATGAGAGGGAAACCTGATTCTCCAGAGGGGTGGGGGTCCAGATGCCTGTGGAACCACTCTACTCCTTTTCTCTTCATCTGTACTGCTCATGCTTTCTTTCTCAACACCTGCGCGGTTTGGGCCTTCCCAAGCCATCTGTGACCATGCTTCAAATGTTTTAAGTAAATATTTTGGCCCTAAAATGAGCTATTTTTCTACACATGAACAAACATCTCCTCTTAGCTATCTGCTACCAAGACTTCCAAAGGCTGAGATTTCCCGCTACTATATTCTGCGCCCAAATAGGAGACTGGGCATTGCCCTTTAGAAGACACAAATTACTCAGTTATGGGGCACTTAACATTAAGACATATTCTAGAACCAAAATAATAAAACTGTTTTCATACTTCTGCCCTGGCTGTTGTGACCCAGTGGTTAGAGCCTCGGCCTGCGCATGGAAGGGTCGAGGTTGGATTCCTGGTCAAGGGTACGTGCCTGGGTTGCAGGTTTGATCCCTGGCCGTGGGGTGCGTGTGGGAGGCGGCTAATTGATGTCTCTCTCTCACATTGACCTCTCTCTCTCTCTCCCTCCTTTCCATTCTCTCTAAAATCAATGGAAAAAACATCCTCAGGCGAGAATTAACAAAACAAAACAAAAAAATGTTTTCAAACTTCTCCCTGGCAAGTTCCCAACCCTCTCCATGAATCACAGCTGTGGTGCACTCCTACAGGGCCAGGTGAATTGCCCAGGCCCTGGCTGGGCCCCGGTCCCACCAGGCTTCAACAAGAAGCACCAACACAGCAGTGCTGTCCAACCCTCACCTTTCTGTGGTCTGAGAAGTGGGATGGAGGGTGTTTGGTTTTTGTCTGCAGAATTCATACATCCAAGCAAGTGTCATCACAGGTTTGGGGTTGGTGAGTGGAAGAGAGTAGAGAATCTCTGGACATGTTGGAGTTCTAAAAAGCATTTGCCAAAATCTTTGGAGCTCTCTTCTTGGCCTGCAACACACACTCCTCTGCATAAACTCATTGGTGGTGATTTTTTATCCATTGAGGTACAGGTGTGATATCTGCAACAAGCTAAATGTTATTTGGAGTCAAGTTTAGCTGAGAAGATAGATAGCTAGGTTGGAGAACACCATTTCCAGTTAAATGAAAGTCTGTGACCTCTTTTTTAGGCAGAATTATTTTTCCAGCATTTAGCATAGAGCTTGGAACAAAATAGGTGCTCAATTAAAAAAAAAGTGGAGTGGGGGAACATGAGGTATTACTTTAAGGTGTTGTTCTTCTATGCCTTACAAGCTCATTACTCAGGAGGTGATCCCCAGGAGGACCCCTGTAAATTACTGAATCGTTCTCCAAGAGTGTAGGACTTCCAAGGGGAAGTCTGACCAAAATGCTCATTTTTTATAAATAATTTTGGGTGTGAAGCCCTGTTGGAATATCTACAGTATCCTATCTGTACTTCTCATGTATCATGAAATAAGCTCACTTTGACTTGTATCATGAAATGTCTTCTATCTTCTACATTTAGAGCTTATGGACCCCTTGTTAAGTTAGCACTGTGTCTTGCACACAATGGGAATTAAATGAAAGTTTGCAGAATGAAAGCTTACAGAGAAAAACAAAAAACTCATCCTGTCTCCTGAGTTATAGGGATTCTGTGAGACAACCTTCCTTTCAGTCTCATCCAGACAGAGAATCAAGTCTAGCAAGGCGGCAAACCAGTTCTCTGTAACCATAACCCAAAGAAAATTTTCAGAATGCTGATTATAGTCAAGCAGATAAGTTTATGAAACAACTTTGAAATTATTTTGCGAGGTTCCCCAGCATCGCTGCTCTTAGCTGTAGCCTAATGTTCTGAACTGCTAACCATTCACCACCCTTCAATGCTCCCATCCTCAGCACTCACATGGCCTACACCATCCTGAAAACGAAGTTATTAAAAACAGTAAAAGCTAATTATTGTTTCCACAGCTTAGGTTAATGTTTCCCATCAAATCTCACATCGAAGTTTCTAGGTTTGAATTTGAAACAAATGAGAGATGGTTGAGAAGATTCAGGTACTAGATTTATCTGGGTTATCCCTTCATAGGTTAGATAAATGTCTAATCATGGGGTTGTACACCTGAAACTAATATAATATTGTACGTCAACTGTAATTTTAAAATAAAAAGAATTTAAAAATTAAATTACAAAAAAAAGAAGTCTCAGGAAAAATCCAAATGAGGGATTTCTTAAATAATGTTACCATAGTTGGCCACTTCTATACATTGAGTAAACACCCTGTAAAACAGGCGATGACTGTCATTTCACAAACAAGGAAACTGAGGCTCAGAGAGGTTGAGTATTTGTATAAGGTCACACTGACTGTGAGTGATCCAAGCCAGGGCTCAGTACCAGGTGGCATCTGCCTCCTTCCAATTCACTGTAATGCCTCCCTTATACATTTTATCTAGATGCCTGACGCACATGGTCAAGGGAAATGAACATAAGTAACCAAGCAGAAAGCTTATCAGTTTATAGTCCTGAAGAAGGGCTGGAGAGTCAGGTTTCATCTCTGCTCATGGGGACCAAGCCGGGCACCAGCCGTTCTGGGCGTCAGGGTCCTCCTTCCCAGACAGAAAACACAGTGACCTACTTTGCTGGACTCTCAGAAGCATTAAGAAAGGCTTCAAAGACAAAGCCTTTGGCTAAAATAACAAGAAGGCGATGAATCCGTGAAATAAGACAGGTGCCCTTTCTGGTCCAAATCTCACACATGGAAAAATGACAAGACCCGAGTCCCCTGTCCAGCACTCCCCTGCGATGCGTGCCACGCGTGAAAGTTCTCTTTGAAATCACGGGCGTCCTCTGTTTGGAGAGGAAACACAGGGAGGTGGGGATGTTGAGCACAGCCACAGGCTTGTGCAAGTAATTTAGGGTTCATTAATCCTTGCTTCTCCCCCTGCCTTTATTCAGCTAGAAGGAAACGGAAAGAATGGAATTCTAATTCATTAATTTATCTACTGTTCAGCCTTATAAAAATTGGAGAGGTGCTGAAAGGCAGGGAGGGGAAATCGGCTTTGTGAATCTAAGTTTTCACTTAGACTATTCTCTCTCTACCTGAAACAGACAAGAGTCACGGTAAACTTTCCTCCTATATCAACATTTTAAAATGCCACGCTTGTTAAAAACCAAAACTTACTGTTCAGGGGTTCAATAAGCGAAGTCCAAAGTCAAGGGGATGATCTCTGTCTTTTCTGAAAACACCACATGCTCTTAGGTGGATCGGGAGAGTCACTGGGCTGTTATTAATAACTGGCCTAGAGCTTTATGAAGAAACATGAGCCAGACCATTACGGGAGGAGGCAAGTGGAAAGCAATTGACAGACACAGGTGGGATAAATTATGGCAAAACTATACTTAGGCCCACGCGGGAGCTCAAATACCCCGGGGGGCGGGGTCAGCCCTTTCACAATCAATAGAGCCTGCGTCAAACACTGAGAATTCAACTCAACTAACAAAAACATCCTTACTCTAACTCTCTTGAAAAATGACACGACTCATTTAATGCTATACTGCTCTTTGTTCTTCTGAGAAATGCTTTCTCATGGATATCTGAATATCTTCTCAAATTTATACATTTTAGCTCTGTTTTCATTGACTTCCCCCATTTTTAAAATATAGGAACAAATGGATTTTCATTATCAGTATTTTGAGATTTGTTTGCTTGTGAGCATATCAGTGTCCCTCCCTTAGAGATCCCTAAACAATTCCTGGAAGGGTGCGTGTGCGCATGTGTGGGTTGTGTGTGTTGGGGGCAGGGAGGTCGGTCTCGGGGACCTAGAGAAGTGAGGTCTGAAGAGCAGAAGTGTAATCCTGACCAGGCGACTGGTTTGCAGAGGCCCTCCTCTTTTGAAAAGCTGGATTTCAAAAAAGTCCAAGTCTATGCCTCTACTGTCCCAGCAACTGACATCAAATTGTTTGGACCATTAACAGCATGTCTTTAGGTCTAAACTATACTAAACACTGGCTCTGTACAAAGTGTTAAGAGAAAATTGATGATACGATAAAAGTTACTGAAATATATAAAGGTATAAATTGAAGGGAACAAATGCTTGTCATTCTTAGGGTCGCCCTGGCTCAGGCCTGGTAACTGCCCTTTTTTCTTCTTTTTAAAGTACATCTTTGTTGACTTTAGAGAGAGGAAGGGAGAGGGAGAGAGAGAGATAGAAACATCCATGATGAGAGAGTCACTGATCAGCTGCCTCCTGCACGCCCCCTACTCGGGATCAAGCCCTCAACCCGGGCATGTGCCCTGACAGGGAATCTAACCCAGATCTCCTGGATCCTAGGCCGATGCTCAACCGCTGAGCCACAGCTGGCTGGGCTGCCCTTTTTTCAAACTAAACCCTTTTCAACTAACTGCTGGGGATGGGGAGGCTGATGCAATTGTCAAAAAGAAAAGTAATAAACCAGTAACCACCAGTTTAACAGATGGGTGAGAGTGAGAGGAACAGGGTACATTTTTTTAAATACTCTCATGAGTTAATATTTGTGAGTATCCACTGAATAGATGTATCTTTATAGAACATAGTCACATCCTACTGTAAATATATTAAGTTCATCATATAACACAAATAGAAATTTTTTAAAGATAAAATTGAAGGATAAATAAGCGTCCTCTTAGCACTTCCAATGGCTCATTTTCACTGGTCCCTGGGGCCAAACACCCCTCTCTGCAGATGACTATGGAGTAGTTTGGCACCATAGCTTCACCACTTATCAGCTATGGTAGGTTCAACTGTGTCCCTCAAAAAGATATGTGCACGTCTTAGCCTGTGAATGTGGCCTTATTTGGGAATGCCATGTGACAAAGGAAACAGGCACTAGAATGATGTGTCTACTAGTCCAGCACTAGTCCAGGACTCTCAGGCAATTCTCAAACTAAGGCCCTCTGCTTGGCTTCTTTTCCTTAAATGTGATTCATAGACTCTCAGAAATTCCAAAGGACTTTAGCAGTCTCCTAACATGGCCCTTAGCAAATGAGGAGATAGGGGCCCAGGCATCCCAGTGTTTGAGTTCTGTGGAGACTTCCTTGAGCCAGGCATTGTGGCTTTGACATTCGTCAAGAACTCAGCCAACTGGGAGAGACAAAGAAATAGATGAACACACTCAACAATGTCCCTAAACCTACCATGTCTTGGCTCTGAGTTTGCAAATGCCATTCCTTCTGCCTAGCAAACTTTTCTTCCCCTAGTTCCTCACTGTGAATTTTTTTCCCGTCAGTGGATTCTAGTTTCAACATTACCTGCTGTGGGAGGGCTTTCCCCACAATGGGGTCAGGACTCCTTGACCGGCATGTGTCCTCCCAAAGGGCCCTTAGCTTATCTTTCCTGTAATGATTCTTTGCCTTTTTCCCAAAGGAACAAGATCCCGAGGACCACTTCTAGACCTTGGTTTCCATTGCCTGTCCCATTCCTGACATAAAGCAGCCCCTCAGATATTCGGAGGTGTGCACAGAGCACAAGGGCAACACAGATGGGGGGACTGACTGACGAAGGAGGTGATGCCAGGCCCAAGTTAAAAGGGGAGGTAGAAATCTGCCAGGGAATCAGCAGGGAAAGGCATTCCAGGGAGACCCTTTAACAGGAGAAAGTATGGGATGGGGGCGGGGCGGGGGCAGATACAGGTGGGGCAAGCTGCACGTGGTTTGCATTGTTGGGAGATAAACAACAAGGCAGAAGTGGCCAGAGATAAAATTGAGAGTGAGCTGGATGCATAAAAATCTTTAATAGTCAGCTTCATCCCTCCCCAGCAGTTTAACTCCAACCAAGTTATTTAACCTCTCTGTGCCTCAGTTTCCTCACCTGTAAACTGAAGATGGTAACAGTCATCCTCACATAAAGTTATTGCAAGGATCGAGTTAACATGCGGGGAACATCGAAAAGAACAAGGGTAAGAACTATGCAAGTGCTTGCTATTTTTATCATGTTAAACCCTTCACCCTATAGGCAAGATGGGGTTCACGGTTCTATTCTTGATGCAGTCAGCATTCCTTTAGAAAGATGTGTGGAGATGAGGTTAGTGGAGCAGGTCCAGGGCCAGAAAAGCAGCTGGATGCTATTTCCAACAACAGCCCGAGAGTGATAAGGACTGGGCCGCCTTGGGGCGCGAGTGGAGAGGGCCAACAGGCTTGAGAAGCATTTAGCAGGTAAAATAGGCAAGATTTAGTGCCTGGGCTAGAGCTGGGTGGGGAGAGATTGCAAGAAGTTCAGAATGCCGCCCAAACTTCTGGTTTAGGAAATTTGGGTGAGTAAGATAAAGAAAGACAAGGAGTTTGTGGGCACTCACTGCGTATCAGGCATAGGGCTAGGCTCTTGATGCCAAGAGATGCCGGTCCACGGCCACAGTGAGTGAGCAAGTGGCCAAGGGAGACTTGAAACACTGTCTCCAGGTGCCCAGTTTGTGCACGTTTCAACACACCGCACTGCAATCTGAGAAATGGGTCCTTCCCAGGGACAAAATTTCTGCCTTTCACATCACAGCTCTTAACCTATAAAGAGTGCCAACAAGGAAAATTCAGGCACTGAGAGATGGTGGTAGTGCAGGAGGGGAGTAACTTTTGAACTTCTAGTACCTTCCACACCAAAAAGAATAAAAGTCGTCTTACCTCAAGTTACTTCATGTTGGCAAATTCCTTCTATTCCGTTTATTTCGATGTCATACATATTATACAAACTTGAACACTTTGCCTCTCATGCCCATTTTTATTGCTGAAGGCAGATCTCTCACGTTTATTTCTTTAGCGTTGCAGCCCAGTACTGCCATTGAGTATAAGAAATGAAAAACAGCATCTCTGCCTCTGGCACCAGCCTCACAGCTAAAGGTGGCGGGAGGAAGTCCCAGCCATGGCTGCCACCCAAAAGAGGCTGCTGGCTGTGGGGGGAGAGCCTGTGGGAGACCTGCCTCCTCACTGTCTTCAGCAAGGACCAGTAGAGGTCTCCGTCCCTACTCTCTTCTGAGAGCTGCATGTTAGACACAGAGGCGGAGGGCGGGCAAGCAGGGGGAGCTGGCCCTGTGGACACAGCAGGGCGGGAAGGCCATGATCGCCTCTGGCTCTCTCCCACCCGACGGTGACACCATCCTCATCGACAGCCTGGGAAACATTCCTGAGAAGCGGGCTCCTGAGGTGAAACGCTTGTGCCCCCACGTGCCCATCAGCCTCGCGGGCAATAAGAAAGGCTTGAGGCGAGACGAGCGTGCGGAGAGGGCTGGCCTAGATGAATCGGGAGCCCGCTCCACCTGAGGACGGCCAGGACACGCGAACCGCATCAGTGCCTTCAGCTGCCTCGCTTCTTCAGCCAAGACCGAGGAGGGGGTGGGAGGTATTCGAGATGGCTCCTTGGCTGGCCTCCAGGTCCCTGAGAATAAGCGCCAGAGGGGCTGCCCCATTCTCTGAGATACCCAAGGCCTCCCCTTGTTCCCCAGGGCGCCTCCCTCCACAGGGGTGCAGAAACACCCCCTTTCCCCAGCCCCACCCTCTTAGGGCTCCATGCCCAAGGCTCCCTTTTTCATTTCCCTCCAGCCCAGGAGCTGCTTCGAGGTTCCCAAGCCCCAGCCCCAGTGGTGGTGGCGGGAGGCCCTCCCTCACCACAGCGCCCTAGGAACCCAGGGCTACGCCCTGCACTCCCGAGGAGAGCTCTCCCGCTGCCGCGGGGTCCAGGGGCGGGCTCTGGGTCCCTTTGGCTTTTGGCCAAGTGTCCCTGGAGCAGCAGAAGGAAATGTTCCTCGAAGTCCAGCCTCCAAACATCCCTCCATAATACAGCTAAACCAGGATGGAGCCCATTCCTGTTGTTTCTTAGCAAAACCCACAGGGCCCCAGGTGGCTGCGGCTGTTGGAGGAAGGGAGACGCGCTTCTTGCAGGAAGGTTCATCCAAATAAAAGCAACTGGCTACATGCACCCAAGGAACTGCCCTTTGGTCCTTGATAATATTTATCAGGAAACTAACTTCCTGTCCTTAATCAGCCGAGTATTTTTAAACAGATGAGACTGGCTTGGACATGTCAGGGGACTACTGTATTAGAGGAAGTGACAAAGAACAGTCACCAAGCTGTTGTGTGTGCAGTGCCTCCCCCTCCCCCCTCAGTTCAATTTTGGCCCAGGTTCAATTTCTGGGCAAGTTGAAGGAAGGTTGTGTGGCTGATAGAGGCAGGCGGTGGAGCGTTCTGCCCAGTTTCCGGGCTGCCAGATATGTCATCACATTTCCAAGGTGAGAACTTGATAA